CATATGACGGTACCTGTGCAGGCACTGACATCACACTACAGAAGAAGAGGCATTGCTCTTAAAGCTATTCCATAGACTTCATTTTATTTTGGTTTAAGGCTGAGGGGAGCTTAATCCCCTTTGCCGTAGGACCGAACTAACCGGAGGATCTCTTTCCAGTGTCATATCCCTTCTCTCCTCCCGTCTCCTGGGAAGGATGGAGTTGGGAGACAGGAGCTCCTCTAGCTGTGTTGCTCCCCTCCTTGTGCTCGGAGTGGTGCGATGGGACGTGACGCTTTTCTGACCCCTTTGCAGGGGGTGTGTGATGGGGGGCCGTGGGGTACAGGGCTAGCGCTGGACGCGAGCTGCCTCCGCCTGCTCACCTACCAGGGAACGGATGTGCAGGGGATGAAAAGTACCACCACAAAGAAGGGGAACAGGGACCCACCGTGTTTGACGGCATCACGCAAGGAGCTGGGGTTTCCTTCCTGTCTGGGGAGGTGGTATCCCACTTCGGGAGCGCACAGACCAGGACAGACCCTCCTTCTTCTGTGAGAGTTACCTACCAGCCAGTCCTCGTGGCTGTGCTCTCCAAGCACAGAGGGCTGCCGAGGAAGAGGAGGCTTGAGGAGCACGACTCATGATTTGAGCATCATTCTTGCTGTCTTCAGAAACATGTCTCTGGAGCCACGTCTGCTTTTGCTCCTGTTCTACCTTGGCAGCCCGGACAATGCCCTGGGAAGAGCAGGGTGAAGAGGGTTTTTTTTTTTTAAAGCACATTCTGGGCATCAGTGCTCGGAGCAGAGGACACCAAACCGCACCCCATGTGAATCGGACTGATGGACGCTGCATGGGGCAGCAGCTGGGAGAAGGCTAGCAGGATGCCCTTACCTCCCTTAGGTTCCTGCCGCTGTATGTGGCGGGGAAAAAATACCCCTTCTTCTTCCAGGAGGGCAGCCATGCGGCGATGCTGGCGAGAAGGGCACAAGAGCAGCGCGGGGCAAGGGCAGAGCCGGCACGCTGAGCCCCTGCCCGGCCACAGGCTCCCCAGCCAGGGAAGCAGTCCTTACACTGTGACCAAGCTCACGCCGACACCTGGGAACGGACACCGGTTTTTAAACATTGATGCTGCTGAGTTGCTGAGGTTCAGGGTGGGGTGGAGGGCGTGTTTTTAAAAAAAAAATAGACTGTGAACCTCTTTAGGTTGTGTGTTTCCAGCCTTAGGGAGTAGCCAGAGAAGGGTGTAACAGGCACTTCACAGCTCTGCTTCTGGGCTGGCTTTCCCCAGATTCACTAGGTGAATTGAGTTATTATCATATTGATAATGTTGCCCACCCCACCCATGTTGCCTGAGGTTCCCTTGCACCCCCTTCTTCCCCCAAACCTTATCCTGCACCCGGTAGTGGTGAGTTTGTG